CTTCTTTGTCTTGTTTGCCTATTGTCCTAATTTTTAAAAGTTAAGTCGCAATAGCCTCAGGCTACGAAAATCCCTTTTTATCGATTCCAAAATTATTAAAATGTGTTACAGTTTTTTGAAGTTTTTGTCATCCACTTTTTCAAATTTCTTCACTTAATAATAATAATTGTATGTTTATTTACACTTCGTATTTACATTTATCCTATAGCAATAAACCGAAAGCACAGTGCAAAATGGAACTAATTTCCTCCTTCGGTTGATCTTTGGATAATAGCTTGATTATAGAGAAAAGATTTCTATGTTTTTCTAAAAAAAGTGTTCTCTTTTCTATTCTTACTGGGAACAGCACGATACCATTTATAGACACAGTAAGACAATGATCTTTCTGACCGATGTTGGGAGAATAAGACCTCTATATCGAAGATTAAAAGTGTGGGCGTTGGTTCTATATTTTATTTTTTCGAAGAGATATGGAGAACAAGTTTGAGACTTGTATTTCAATTTACCCCATCACGTTCTTAGAGGCTATGGCGGTAAAATTTAAAATGATTGGTCAGGAAACATATAATTACATCGAAATTATCGCAAATTGCGCACATCCTAGGACGTGGAGATCGTTGTAGCTGTTCCCAGAGGACCGCAGTTCGGTTATCCTGTTCGGTAGCCGATAAATACGACCCACTCTATAAATAATAAATTGATTATGTTCGGTGATACCGCATAATAATTATAAATGAATACAGCATTGTTCGGCGATCCTTTTTATCGAATTATTGGCAATTTTTTGATAGTTATGTTAATTTCGGGTTTAAAATTTATGGATAGATTCCGACGCGATATTTTTCATCTAATCATTTGGATAAAGCCACATCAGTGTTGAAGTGTTGCTTTTTTTGAATCTGGAACCGTTTGTTTCACTTCATTCCGTTTGTTTAGTATATATTTAGCAAATTTTCGGACGAAATGTATTTGTGGAAGTCGAATGAAAAAGTCGTATCTCTCCTAAAGCAAAATTCTGTTGGAAATTATAATGTTGTTTACTTCTTACTTCTAAACTGTGTTAAATCTTTTTACCTTCAGCTTCGCTATTATTATGTCAATGTTTTCAAATCCGGATTCATGTTTTGTATGTTTAAAAATTATTTTATCTGATTTTCAACATAATAAATTTTTAAAATAAGGACTGATTTGTTAAAACAAAAATACAATACTATTTACAGATCTTCTGGATTCCTCCTGCGTCGGTTATTGATGAATCGAACTTGCTGGCGTTTCGGCAATCATCCTGCTAGCTTCTTCAGAGCTTGACTAAAATTGGTTTGCATTTTACTCTGTACTTGCTTATATATTGTTTGAGGGGGGCTCTGTTTGATGAAGGTCGAGCTAAAGGAGGGACATTGTCTCGGATGGTGAAAGGTTAAGACATAAGTCGCTGTTAAGATTGGTTGTTGAATGTTGATGGATTCTCGGATTTTAAAAATTAAAATTTATATCGCATAACACAACTCCCTATCAATCAAATCTAACTCAGCCTAAAATGGAAATAAAGGCGCACATTATAAATTAAATTCAACAATTCAAAAATTTCTCAATTAGTTTAACGTAAACAAAAGCTCGAAATTTTAGTCCCCTAAATTGAGCTATTCAGAGAGTGCAACGTTCGTGACAAATTTAGGCGAAATGTGCATATGCCATACATATTGTGTGGGATCCTTGATATCTCGATCAGTAGACAATCGGGATAGTATCTGAGATGTGTCTGTGCTAAATAAACACACGTTCAAGGGGGAATTTAATCAGTGTTTCAACCCCCGGAAATTTGATAATCTCGAATTTGCAATGCCAAACAATATGTAGGGAGTTTAAGTTCATTGGTAACGTCGTTCGGAACAGATTTTTAATTTACATTATATTACATTATGTAAAATTATTTTGTTTTTTCTTATCTGCAAAGTCCTTTGAAAAATATTGCGCCCGATTTTAACTGCTTAAGTTAAGTTTCTCAAGCAATGAAGAGAAGTGAAATTTGAAGACATAAATATTGATAGTTGCAGCTTATTATTTTTATGCGTTTTTTTTGCATTAGAAATGGTACAGACTCAGTAAATACATTATAAACGGAATGAAACCTTTACTATTTATAGCAGACATTTGATTGTTGAAATACCACAAACTTCCTCTTCATTTACAGGTTCCTCAGCAAAAATCAGGTATTTTGGACACTGTATCTGTCTTTGTTTTGTACTACCTTCGGTCCATAGAATTATTGCAAAAGTAAAAAATTGTTTATTCTGTGGTTATACTTTTTCCTCTACACACACAAAATATTAAGGTTAGCAACATAAACTTTGAAATAGGTTGAAATCGATAGAGGCCGTACACCCAACTCCAACCAAGCAACTTCAATGACGATATTGGTTAAGTCTCATTTTATAACCATTATCGGTAATATGAAGAAAATGGAATACGATTTTGTATATCCACGTTGCTATCGTTAAATTTTTTAACAATATTTATTAAACCAAAGTCACAACAATGTAGAAACAGAATCGATTTGAATATCTCTTCTGAAATTTTAATTACAACCTAACATGTTTGTTTAATACTTATCCTACAAAATAAATTATAAGTGTATTTAATATATACAATTTAAATTCGTTATGCAAAATAAATAGGTAATATCTTGATATGATTAATAAATCTTTTAAAATAAATACTAATTCGATAGTTCGTCGGTATCAAATTACATTTTAATTAATTAATTACAATTTAATTTGCTTTAATTCTTGCTTTTTTCTTACAGAATCGTAGCATATGGTTGAAAAGCAGCTGAATGCATAAATCATCTGTTAACCTTTCTATAGAAAAAAGAATGCGAGTTGGGTTGGCCTTTTTTGGGGCCTTTCCGTCATTTTCCTTCTTAACTGCACTTCTAGCAGGGATTTGGGGATTTTCTGTTTGGAGGCTTTTCTAATTCTTGATTTGAACCAGAGAAATTCATGCCGGCACCAACTGCCGTAATTGTGAATCGGCGTAAATCTGTTTATTGTTTTCTATGTTAGGAATAGCATAAGGTTAACAAAAAAACATGGACATTTCATAAAAACAAATTGAGATATGATTTTTTGAAATTTCCTAATTTCTTCCCAATATTTGAGGTACCCTGTATAGCGCTCAAAAGTGTATTATCTTAATTGAGTAGTTAAATAGTAGTTTCAGTAATGATTCTGCCAAAATTCATAATTCTGCATCAAAAAGCAAATTGCCCACAACATTTTTCAATAGACCTTGACCGTCTATATTTTATGGCAAATGGCCAATATTCAGTCAAATCCTTTTGTATAAACAAGAAATTTCTACAAACAACGTGGTGGTAATTTTTTGTGAAAAGCACATGGCAATAAGTCTGCACTGTAAGGTTATAATACGCTGAATTAGCTGAGTGGGCTCTGGCACCTCGCGGATAGGACAATCTCATCTATTGCGTTGATACTGAGGCTTAACTTGCGTTGATTGTCTAAGGTCTTCTTAATAAATCTTCCAGTAGAACACTTCTATAATCCCAAAAAATCGGAGCCAACCCTTTCCCTGCAGAAAATCGAGTTTTGCCTTTCACGTGGTTTTCTTCTCCTTTCTTTCTGCACTACATATTTGCATGCTTTTATTCGGTGGTATAATGATACACCCATATCTCGTCACAAGTGACAATTTTATGCAGAAAAGCACTTCTTCAAAACCAGATCGAAGCAATTGAGAAATGCGAACTCGCGTGGCTTTTCGATCATCATGCGGTCACTTTGGAACCCAACGTGCTGAGATTTTTTTGAAGCCTAATCTAGGTATCCCCACTCAACCGCTACAAATGCCCAATCACACGCCAATACCCTTCCTCACTCTCGGAGACTAAAGGCTCGTTTATATTGGATTGGATGTCGTATTTAAAAAACTTTAAAGTTTAACTATCACATATTTTATTCAAGTAGTGGTTACACCTAACGGTAGAATTTAAATATGAAGAAAAACAAAAGTTTTTGTATCGCCAACGGTTTCCACTCAAAAACCGGCGCACTACTAGGACCCCGACATTCGGTCTCGAGTTCGCCATTTACGAACTAACTGAAGGCTTAACCGAATAGACAGACTGTGCGCAACACTCCCTATTTAAAACTTTAAAATGTACCGCGGAGATTTTATTCTCAGGCTCTAGTTGTAGAAATAATCCCAATGGAAACAACGTTGTGGTCCTTAATCTCCGTTAAATACGTCTTTATTTTCGACTACGTCATTTTAAACTAAGTAATAAGAAATTAGTTTTCGACAAAAAACAGTTCATCGTAGTATCTAACGTAGGTATAAGAAAAATGGTAAATCTTTAACCAGATTATATTTTTTAAAAAGCTTACTTTATGCAAAATTTTACTCAAGTTCTTTCTGTGACTTTCTCTAATTTTTTCTAACCGTCTGCTAAAGCAAGCATGCTTTGATTTTAAATCTCATTGGCTTTTTCTACCCCTCTCAAATAACTGTTAAAATTGAAAATATATACGAGTCCATAAAATGTAACTTTGAAATGTCACCAACACCAAACCTGTGGTGAGCCACTTTTAATGTTTCCGACACTTTAGTCACGATTTTTCGAACACCTCACCTCACACGTCACTTAGCGTTCACGTCACTTGGGATCGTGCCCAACCAAAGTCGTGACTAAAGCCGTGTTTATCAAACTTATTACATAATACACTATTGGCTCTACCTTAAAACTGTTTGTTTATACTGCAAAATTTGTTGTATAATGTACTATTTGCCAATTGTATGTATCTTGTAATTTTGTAGTATCTTAGTCCACAATTATCTCGAACACAATTGCTGTTGAGGAAATGTTTAAAGGTTCTATAACCGTACTACTAAGAAGTCAACAGTGTAATCTATTTCACATATACCTTGATGATTTTATTAGTTGTATCCCACATACATTTTGCATAATATCTATTTTTTTACAGAAAATTTGCTCCAGGCTCCCCGGTTCACCACTTTCACGAGCAGTAGTATAATCAGACTAGGAACAACGAAAATCGTCCAATGTCAGGCATTCGGTAAGTACATTTTGATTTTTGTGTAGCCTAAGCCAAATTTTATAACAGCATAGGCTAATTCGAAAACGGTTAGAGCCACGAAGTCGATTAATTGGAGAAAAGACCCACATTTTTCTGAAATATCCAGAAAAATGGTGTGTAAACTTTTCTGTCAAATTGCGTCGAAAATTTTGCCAGTAAAAGTTCCATTTCTTAGTTTTTTTTTAATGATTAATCTTTTATAATATTTGGCATTTGCAAATGTGAATAACCTATTTTGTGAGAAAATCAAATCAGTTGCATTTGACTCCGGAATCGCATACAGTCGAAATAGTATTATTACAAATTTTATATTCATATTTAACATATCAAATACCATACTATAGCCGTCTTAAAATAAAATTTCTTTTGTCATAAGTCTAGAAAAGAGCCGCCCTTAGCTAAATGCAAATATCCTAAGCGAAACCCAAGTGACGATTTGACAATTCAGTGAGATCTCTCGCGGAAAATCTACTTGGGAAGTAAAATTCGGAATATTGGTTGTTTTTGCATAGTTTGTGTTGATATTACCTAAAAAATGGTGGATTTGACTAAACAAACATTAAATAACAGTTATTCCGATAATGGCTTTGGATTTATACATTTTTTTGTTTAAACTTTACACTCTTTAATATACATTTTTGGATACTTGATCTTTTACGATATTTAATTGGCCATTAATTTCATAAGGAGTGCTTTTAATTTTTTTAGTTTGGAGGCACAATGCAAAATGTCCTTTAAATTATCGGTTCCCTTTGTAGATCCAATTAAAATTACATGTTAAACTTTACGCATTCTATTTTTAATACAAAAATATATGTTGTATGATCCGGACGAAGGCTCAAAAGTAACAGGTAAATGTTATGAAATATTTCCTTATTGCCATGTTTGTTTACTGCCTTTTTGTTAAAATTCAACGCTTAAACATGTTTCTTTCCCTTGCCGAACCGTACCGCCTTTCTTTCACTTTTCATTCATTAAACTTGTGATTTTACTTCAATCGCAGAATTTTGATAAGGTTTGGCTTGTGGATAATTTTTTATTAGTTTTATGGTTGAAATATTGGTTAAGTTAGCAGTTAAGAGTTAAAGAATTTTTCAATATTCGCTACCTAAATTAACATTTAACTACCCAGCAGAGAAATCTGAAGTAACCAGAAATTTCTCAATCTAAAATTCATCTTTTAATATGTCAAAAATATTGAAGAATTAGAAATGTGGACTGGCGCCTGGACAAACCTGCAGAAAGACTGTGTTATCCCTTGGCGATTCTGATCACCGATGACTGATAGGTTAGATGCTGCACTTAATATCTATAGCTTGTTTCTTAAGGCAAGAGAGTAACAAAATGTAAATTTGCAATAACAAGGATCATTTAACATGGTGAATAACTAAAAGGTTATATCGCAATCGCACGCAGTCACACTAATTTGCGACTTTGGAAAATGAAGTAGTTTGATAGCGGCATTAGTACAGGTAGTTTATTAGAATAATAAATATACATGATTCTAATTATAGCTATGGCAGGTATTTGAGATATTAATTAAACTAAGATCAAGTAAATAAAAAACTTATGTAGAAGTGAGAATAATATGAAAATAGATAAACTGTAATAAATATTATTTTAAGAAATTTTAATTTTAAAAAAAGAAAAAATTGTAAATCATGACTATACAGTTTTTTCTATCGTGTTATCAGTTTCCCACGTTCTTTCTTCTATTTTAACTACATGTTCGATAGAAATAACGTCCCGCGTAAGTTGTATTATGCGTTGCTGCAAACCCTTTTACTTACGGCCATACCAATTCTATGGTTTTTAAGGAACCATTACATTTCATTTTGCAGCGATTTCGTGGGTATTTTTTCGTATTTTATTGAGTGATAGCTGGCATTATGCATGCCTATAACAGACCTAATCTAATTCTTAGCAACAATTTGAGTAACACTAGCCATTTTCAAGATCTAACTTTGTCAACAACTGTCAATTTACTATAATTCTAACTTTAATCACTTGTTCTCTAGTCAACCCACCTGTTCTCCTGACGATATATTGTTTTTGTGACAGAATCTGGTATTTATTTCTGGTAAATTTTTATGAAGGTCTAACCGCAGCCTACCTCTATTGGGTTTCTCTTTGTAATCTTCAATAAATAGATTCGCAATTCCACAATAACGTTCCAGATCCGTACTACGTGCATACAAAAACTTGTCTTTTATTTATTGTTTTGTAATAAAAATAAATTTTTCGTACGAACGGACGCAAAGTCTCTTGGCAACAGTCAATTTTCAAAACTCTATTCAACTCTTCATTTAACGTTTTAATTGTTAAATTAATCGCATCATATATCAACTATCTCACTATTCCGGCATGGTGCATGTCAAGTAGACTTTTTGGGACCCCACAATCTTTCTTCATTTTTCTTTCTTGGGCACCACCACCAGTATACGTTGTTTGAGTCATTTCGGACGTTAATTTTATGGCTTTCAGAAACAGAAACACATTTAAAATTATCATTTTGACAGCAGCCGTGCCAGCAAATGTGTTCGAGTCTTTGATCCATGTGACTTTGACGGATGTTCATCATCAACGATTATTACGTCATCAACCACAACCTCAACAAAATTGAATAATGTTAGTATTTGGTAAAAAATAAATTGTAATAAAATGTATATGGTACTTCAATAAAAATGGCACGCTGAGTTTGATTTTGCCAACCTCCACAAATCAACCAATAGCAAACTGGGAAAACATCCGTTAAAAATCAATTATCTACATAATATTTTGTATTGCTTTCCTAGGGAAATATCAGTCATTACGTTAAACCATTAAATTGGAAATCAGTTTAAGCTTTCGAATGTGTTTTTAATATAGGAGATCAACCTATCTAAAGGGAAAATTCAACTTGAAATCAAGCGACCTCAAGTAGGGACGCTTAAAATACAACAGTCCGCACGGCACATTTCTTGTCGGCTAACATCGGCCCTGGGTTGCGGTACACGTGCTGATAAAAATAGTCTCCTCCACTTCACAATAGGCGGGTTTTAAATTCATTCTGAAGTCAAAACCGTAAAAGGTTGTAAGGACGGTATATCGTTCGGCGAACTCTACAATATGGAATACGACTAAGTTTTACAGTTCATTAGTATTAATTATTATTACATTAATCGAGTATTGTGCTCCATTAAAGTGATCTTCAAATGCGACAAACAAAAAGTTAAATGAACTCATCCACCTGGAGCCAAATACATCGCTCGATGGCAGCCACACTCGAAACTAGTCGATTGTCTCCGACAACAAGAGAAAATAAAAACTGTCCTCCAAAGCGCTATCACAAATCACCAGGATTCGCGGAAATCGTAGTTATTCGCGCTTAATAACGTCGCGGTTTGGTCGCCTATCGGACCGAATTTATGTGTTATTCCTTCGCATCCGTTCGGACTATGCGTATCGGTCGAGGGTCGCCAAATAACTAATTTAATCTACTTAGACGGGATGAAATTCATGTCGCTCGCCCATCCATTTCGAATTTTTTCTAATTTGAACGTAGCATATTTCAAAAACTTTACAAATTTCGTACTTTCGTAATTAACCTACCTACTACTAGCTCGGTTTAAAAAAAATCGAATTAAATTTTTGCGTAGGGATACAATTCGCAGTTTCATATTACATGTTTTACGGCTAAGGGAGATGTTTTCGGTTTGCTTATTGCCGATGTAACTAGTATAGGCAACTATTCGCAAAGCTGAGTTTATAAATGAAATTTGCAATTCCAAGCATTCTTCAATACAGCATCAGCAGATTCCGACAGATGGCATTTAAATTAGTGTAAAATACGTATTGCTATTGAAAGTAAAAAAATATGTTTTTGTAGATTGCTGAAAAAATATTTGTTAAACTGAGATGGCTTTTACTTGATGAAAATCCATTTATTAAAATAAATAAGAACTAAACGTTCAGATTTGTCAGTGTTGTCGATACAATTGTCATGTCAAAATATATATTTTCGTGAAAATCTGAACTTTTAGTTCTTATTTATTTTGGAAAAACATTTCCCAAACTGATAGCACCTTCCCTTCCACCAGTTTTTATTCAGTTTGATAATTCGTCAAATATTTGATTTTTTTCTTGAAATATGGGTTGGTTTCGTGGTCGGTGTTCTTTTCGAAATAAAAAATAAACATTATAAGTATGGAATGAAAATCTGAGCGTTAGCCTACTCCAGCAATGCCTGCATAATAAATATGAAGGTTGCGAAAAGAAAGCAGTGCTCCCTAAAGAAAATGAAGGAGAGCGGGTACTCCGCTGTACAGTACCCAAGAATAAATATTCCAAACATCAATCGTACAAACCTATCAGTTCAGGTATCATTGAGTTTACGCAAAATCATACACCAGTTTCTTACGTGCTATCAAAAAAATAAAGCACACCTATTCACAAGGCATTATACTTCTTATACTATACATCCCGGCGGATGAGTACAATTAAATTAACTGCTGCAGTGTCCTCACATTTTATGGAAAAGTGTCGCTGACGAAAAAAGGACTGCAACTTATGTATTAAGAGCTCAAAATGAACTGCAATAAAAAGTAAGCAAAAATCGCGCGCATTTAGAACGTTGTGTATTAGTCGACCGCCACATATTAGGGACTTTTCCGGTTTCTTAAACATAATGTAAAATATATAAATAATAATTTAACTCGGTGGTAAGACTTATTTATCCCTCTTTATCCACGAAAAGCTTCATAATTTACCAGCTGGCACATAATTCGGGCCTTAGACGGGATAACATCCGTTTCGGTTGTCGTCCGCTCTGCAATTTTCCGGGTTTTAACGGCGTATCTATGTTCGGACGTAATTATGGTGCAAACACCACAACGTACAACCTGAACCTGAAAATTATTCTTTTGGTGAAATTGGTTTTCGTTATTCATGTCTTGATAACCAATAGTCAACAGTCTAAGAACCACCTGGGTGCTGTTACT